TTTTTCGCCGCTTCGAGTGAGATGTGTTGCACCGTTTTACTGAAGTTTTGAGCGTAAAGTGAAACTTTTTGAAATAAAAATGAATGGACGATCAAAGAGTATTACAGTTAACTCTGGAGAGAAAATACGACTATGAAAGTAAGCTGCTATTGAAATTTTATTAGGTACCTCAATTGTGAATGCCCATTTTATTTACAGGGAGATCGAACAGAGCGACATTTCCATAAATAATTTTCGGAATGCAGTTGTTGAACAATTGCTGAAATTCGAAGATGGCTACGCTTATGACCATACATGTCATGTAAAAGTGAATTTGAGGGCTCACGAATTACTAAAACTGGATTGTAAGGCACGGGAAAATAGACGGTACTGCAAGGGTTGTTACAACGAAAAACAAGCTGGACTTATTGAAAAAGTTAAAAAAGTAATAATTTATTGTGCACAGTGCGAAGATAATCCTAGATTCTATCTGAAATGTTTTAATTTAGTACACAAAACTCGTTAAAATTTTTACGAAATAAATGTAGATATGTATTTGCAAAACTTTTTTGTTCAATATACTTTGTTTATTAAATGCTTATTTTATCTCCATAGATAAATAAATAAGTGAAATAAACATATAAAAATTTATTTGATATTACGATAAGAATATCACCAGATTTCTCTGGCAAACATTGCTACATAAAACCTGGTGTCAGCGTTTTATCTTGCAGGGCCGTGGCGGTCATGTTACTACGCCAAACCGCATAAAAGCGTGTCCGCCTGGCCGGGAGGAGATGATAAAAATTTGAAAGCCAAGCGGACACCGGGGTCCGCCGTGGCGCTTAACCTGTTAATATAAACTCACATAACCCATCTTTTCAAGGTTGTATCAATATCACACATTCTTACACTCATATGAACTACACAAAAAAAAAATTTTCCAAGACAAGTTAATTCAGCATTTTAGTAATTTTGCATCCCTCGTATACTTCATACCCAAAGCTGGACAGGGAGATTTACAGTTCCACCGTCCGTCGCGTCAATCACTTGTCATCTGTCGACGCTTTATCTTTCCGTGCCGTGCCCCTCTCCACGTGTAGCGGATACAGAAGGTTAGAGACTGCATTCCGATTGTTTCAACACAATTTCGTCTCACGTGTAATATTTTTAACTTGTTCGGGTGGATTGATATTTTTAAAATTTAACGAAGGTATCTGTCGTTTTACAACAAACCCAATGTCCCCGTCCTTTTGTTTTTATACTGATTATAAGTTCGATCTTCTCTACGTTCGTTCTGAAACACCTTGTTGCTGCAACCTCACCGACGAGTAAGTTGTCTGACAATTTAAATCTGTCCTGTTTTCTTTGCTAGCATCACAATTGTGTTTTCAGAATCCTGATGAAGGCTCCATAGATACTGCCGAAAGCTTGATTTTATCGTCAAAAGAGTCAACTTAAACCTAAGAGTTTTGCCAATTTCCCAATTAACAATTAATTGTATTTTGTACCCAACTGGTCGTTGGCTTTGGCAATGACTACCGCTCATGCCAACTTCCCACTTAACAATATATATATATATATAACTTGAGACGTGGTCATTGTCGTCTAGACCAGTTAGGTGAAAAATTAAAGCTTCCGCCTTTTGTTGGGTACTTCGACAAAATTTAAGCAAAGAGGAAGGACTCTTTATACTTTTTTTAATTCTCTCTAGCTTTCAAGTATTATATATATTCGAAGTACCCAACAAAAGGCGGAAGGTTTAATTTTTCACCTATATACATATACAGGGTGACTTTGAAGTTGAGTCATTAATTTTCAGATAATGATTGTAGAAGGAATATAAACCAAAATATGTGTGTAAAAATAAAAAAAAAAATAAAAAAAAATGTTTACCTTGTTTTATAAAGTATCCTCCCGACAAGTATTTCAGTGCGGACCTGTATTTGATCGTGAGGTCCCCTGTGAGGTCTTAAGTCACCTGATTCACGAGCCCGTTGTACTACATTAACAAAGGCACGAGGGGTTGGTTGCACTCGATTGGGAAACCGATCCGCATAAACATGTGCCATTTTTTATTTCGTTTGAGCCACGCAACAGATACAACTATTCACTGACACTTACTGTATACAAATGAATGAAATAATTCGTTCCAAATTCTTTCGCTTTTTTGTTTCCGATGCGATGAACCGATACGACGGATTATATCCGTTGTCGCCAAACACGAGCACATTGAGACAGGGCGGTACTCAAACTTCCAAAGGGCTATAACTTTGTTACTTTAATTTTACCAGAAAAATGGTAAAGGAAAAAAACATTTCTTTTGATCAGATCTACTCACTGTTAAAATAAATGACTCAACTTCGAAGTCACCCTGTATATATAACAGGGCGAATTTTTAGTGAGTGATCGGTTAATAGCTTCTTTATTTCAAAATATATTCACAAAAGTTACAATAACTGTCTTTGAAAAATACGCCGCTTTCTACAGACATAACATAACAACGTGGCAATACAAACATGCATTTTTTGATCAGAAAGCCCTGTATACTTTGGTACACTTAAAAATATCTCTTCAAAGTAACAAGTTTTAAATAGCAAGTCTAGGGTCTTGGTCGCTACTTCTGGAGCTAAAGGATATCTTTTTATGAAAAAAACTGGGCTTGTAAGTTTCATGTAAATCAGATTAATAAACGTTTTTCAAGTTTTTTGCGTAATCTGCACACGATTTTTATATGATTCTTAACTGCAATATCAGACGGACAGCACATATTTTCAAAAAAATTAAGCCCCAAACATTTTACCCCAAAACAAACTTTATAAAAAGTATAACCCAAAACAGTAAAATGTACAAAGTGATCCACTATACCTTTTTTCAGAAAAAGTACACTTTGCGCCTTGAGTTTTGCTGCCTTCCTCCTACACAGTTCAAAGAAAAACAGCGGAGAGTGGATACAGCTAAAGACATTCTTTCGCAGTGGTCAAATTGTTACTGTAAAAAAGGTTTAAAAGCCCTCCAAAAAGAAGGCTGCCAAAATTCGTATCTAATATCCATGTTGGAATTATACTGGGTGTTAATTTAGTATACACCATAAATTGAATACACGATTCTTTGAGTAATTTTAATTCAAAAAGTTCATATAAACAAATTCTTCGCTATCAAGATATAGGGTGTTAAAATTTTATTTTACCTATATAATATTTTATGTAAAGTGTTTTTAGTCGTTATTTTTTGTCCAATATGTTTCAATTTACTAACAGTGAAATGGTAGATATGCATTTATGTTAGGGAATGGCTGATGGAAACTCTAATGCTTCAAGACGCATTTATCATGAAATATATCCTCAGCGTGTAGTGCCTAATAGAAGAACTTTTGTAAGTCTCCATGCACGACTTTCTGAAATATCATCGGGACGCCTGCAACGGTACGAACAATTATAATTGAAGAGCAAGCTCTATTGCTCAGAGATTTTCCTTTAAGGCTAGCTTGTTCGTATTGGTTACGCAGTAAAATGATAAGGAATCCAGTCGACTATTGTTTACAGATGAAGCTTGCTTTTCTCTCAATTCAATTATTAACTCACACTCTTTTAATATTTGGGTTGGAATTGTCGGTGACCATCTGATTGAACCTCATTTTCTTCCACCTAGACTGGAGAAGAATACCGAGAGTTTTTAGAATTCTTTTACATGTACTCTTAGAAAATCAAGTCATGAAAAGATTCCGTATGCGGTACATGTACGACTGGGTTCCACTACACTTTAGTGTAGTGGCGCGACAATTTTTGGATGAAAAATTACCATAATCGGTGGATGGGGAGATGGAAAATTCGCCAGGTATTTTCAGTCGACTGTGTAATTCAATTATGAGGCGGCTAGAAGGTTGTATTGAAACCGAATGGGGCCATTTTCAACACTTCATTTTGTGAAGTTTGTTAGTCTAGATGTTAATGTTATTTAGTATTTGTTGTTACATAATTTGTTATTAAAATTATAGAAAAAATAATTTCCAATAGAAACTTTTCCACATATTCCTTGTGTGATCCAAGGATATGCAATTAAGTGGACTTTTTTTCTCGAATACTAAGCGAGATACGAAAAAAAAACAAGAGACAAAAGAATTGTATTTCTATTTTATTAATCCTAAGAACATAATAAAAATTGCACAAAAGTGGCGTACATTTTTTTGTCACAAATATTTGTTCAGATCCCGCTCGAGACGCCAGTGGACTTAGTAAATTTCGTCAAGTAAGGGCTAAATTAGCTACTTAATGTTATAAATACCGCCGTCAAAGTACAACAAAATTATTAAAAGGATCTTTAAGATATTTACGAAAAAACATTTTTTTAAATTTCAACACCCTATATCTTGTGAACGAAGAATTTGAGCACAATGTATATAAGAACCTTTTATCTTAAAATGACTCAAATAATCGACTGTTAAATTTATGGTACATACAAATTATCACCCTGTAGAGTGTCCATGAGGGAGAATTCATCTTGAGTACCATATCACAAAATATGGTACAAGGAGTCTAATAAATACTTTACGATCAATATCTTTAGTCAAACAGCTCCTTTAAAGAGTTATTTTATGAAAATGGTCTGTGGCAATGGAGGAAGTATTGTAATCGCGAAAAATTTCGAAAATGAGGTATTGGTTTTTTGGATGTTGTATAACATTTACGTCATGAAAAAACATGCCGTTTATTTCCTTCGGTCTGTCGACCAGTCTGTCGCTAATTCTTGACCCATCCACCACTTGAAAATCGACCCAATGGCTGCGGAGCTGAGGGCGTTTTTTGATTTTTTAGAGACTTTGAGAGAAGTTGGAGGTTATAGGGGATGGAGTAGGGTATATCGCAATTTTTTTATTTATAGATACGCTCCCAACCCTGATAGTTCTACGCATCTATATTATGAACATAGCCTTTTCCGTATTAAAAAATAATATAAAGCCTTGACTGAAACACACTGGATATATCGCTAGAGAGGGAACCTTTTCGACTTACCAGGCTCACCTTTGAATGACGTTTTATTTTGTGGTAATGCAGTAATTTCACGAATACTGACTATGGACTATTTGCATGTTATAGATTTACGGCCACTTCAACTGAACTTTTATTTTGTACTATTATTTGTTCATCACAGCCGCATTGTCATCTTTGGAGACTGTAGATGAGTTTTATCCCCAAAAATATACAAATTTAGTCTGGTCTACTTCTAAGAATCACTGTACCTTGGCTTCACCTTCAATATATACCTTATGTGATCCGAACGCCACAAAAAACAAAATGCGCTTTGCGAATATCACATTGAGCTACCCTAAATCTGACACTTTTGACGATAAAACTTTGCGGTAAATAAAGCTCTTGCGCGAATTCGAAGACTGAGTGTCTTCACATCGTATTTACTACTACGGATGTATAGGTATGCTTCAATCTGGTCACAACTTAATTACGTCAATTAAATAATTAGGGCAATTTTAATTTAATCTTCAATAAGGATGTAAATCAGGACATCGGAATAGGGCGAGTTAAAAAAGTCGCTTGTTGCAAATCAGTTTTCGAGAAGTAAGTTAATCATTAATACTCCAGTAAGTATCTGAGCTAATTTTCAAAAAGCTCGCTAGTGAATTGTGTTTCCGTGTTTCCATTACAGAAATTGATGATATTTGCTACTTCACTATGATAGTCAGTTTCAGTAACTGCTGTACCGATTCTGATGCCGCTACATGCCTGTTAAGCAAAAAGTTCACACAAGGTTCCTACAAAAATAATTTGTTCCTGTTCATCATTTTAGTGCATGTTAAAGATATTTTATGGGTCTCAATATTTTTGTCCAAACTCATTTTGAGACTCTTTGAATTCGTGGGCATTTTTAGCTGCACTTAGGAATTAGAAAAATAAATCCAGGACATGGTATCCACTTAAACATTTATAATTTATTTAGCTTATTCATACCTTATCAACACATTTGTCGTTTGGCCATGCCGTTTAAAAACGACAAAATTTCTTGCATGCATTTGTGAAGCTTTGAACTTGATTCTTGAGTTTCACAATTTCAACGTGAAGTGAAGTGTGCAGATATTGCAGTAGGTTGGACCAGCTATGACCACTTAGTCTCATGCATGAAAGTGCATTCCGATATAGAATTTCGAGTACTACACGAGTCTAGTGTCAAAAATGGTGATTGCTATTTGAATTTACAAACTCAACCTTTAAATGACCCCTGAGGCGATATTTGAGGTCGCCGATGAATTGTTTTTACTTTCCAGAGCTACAGAATTTTTAAAATCGGTCCAGCCACGGCGGCGAAAAAGGCCAGAACGAAAAACAATAAAAATCGCTCAAACTTCATTTTCTGACGTTTAAGAGGATCCTGATCATTTTTGAAGAAACTTTTGGCAGTAAACAGTTTGGTGATGATAATTCTAGGGGGGTGGGGAGGGAATATCTCAATGTTTGGATGTTAGATTTATTTGTGTTTACACGCTCCCAACTTAGATAATTCTTCGGACAAATTAGACATATTTCACACATCATAGACTTTAAAAAGTGTTCTGGTATTACTGTCGCGCCACAGCATAGTGTTTCATATGCTGTAGCTACGCTGCCACGTCTGACCGGGTTAGGTATCGGGGAGAGGCGACGAAACTTTTCTTATACCATTTATTCAGTAAAATGCATGGCCTCCAGGTTTTCGGGCTGCTCAGACATTCAACACCGTACGTAATGTCGATATTGAATTTGAATAAGCATTATCTTTATTTTTGAATAGAGAATCCTAAATACAGATCTGTATATCTTATCTAAATGGTCGATAACAAACAAATATCTATACCTTATGTAAAAGATAGAGAATCACATAATCCTATCAACATGTTTGCACTCAGTATCTCAGTCATATTACTTACTATTACATTCATAACTTTTTCAGTAAGAAATTCGAAACAACCAAATAAGATATTTAATGTTTATAGTCAACCGGGAAGATGGTTTACGTTGAAGTATTATGTATTAAGGTGCACACTAATGCTGAGAAGACTAAAATATTACTTTATGGACAAGAGCAACTTTTTTCAGCCAAAACAGTTAGAGCAGTTACAACCACTGTCAGAACACGAATTGGTAAGGAGCATGTACACTATGTTATCGCTAATCCTATACAACATAAGCATCAATGGCAATACTTGCTATGATGTATTCCTTAAGCAAAGTATACAACGTTGAACAGTCAACACCAAAACCAGTGTGACTACTTATACCGATGTACACATACACTCTAAATCGTAAGCAATGTATTGTAAGAAATGACGTCAGGGCGCCCTATTTGAGGGTTCAGTAAATGCAGTTTGTGCATCATGAGAAAACTCGTTCCACTAAGAAAAAATAACACTTCGACAGAAAAACCAGTTGCTTCGTAGAAAATCAAAAATAAATTCGATCAACAAGATTCGGCTTTATAAAATTGTTGTGCATGTGCGGCTAGGAGTTTCGTCGTAAAACCACACATGAGAAGCATTCAGGGGAATACATCAATGAAAACGTATTCAACCTAAGTACTTACATTAAACAGCAGGCATAGCGATGATACAGTCAAAGCGAATCGTACAGCAACATCCTGTACTGCGAACGAAATGTACGTTTGCAAATACTCAAGGTCGCACTTCGAATTGTAAGCAAAAGTAAGTTAAGTCGTGAATTTAAAACAGCCAAAATTAAAACATTTCAACAAAACATACACGAAAACTAAATCCTATAGATCAGATTTTTGTTAAAACATTTAGATTTAGATCATCCCTAAACGCTTCATAGCCTCAAAGATTCTTCTCTTCCTCTCTATCTACTTTCTTTCTTTTTTCCCTTAATTCGCTAGCAATGTCGGGCTTCTGGGTTACCACATAAGACAGGCTTTCGAACTAATAATTGAAGACACAAGTGGATAAAGGTGACACGTAACATTTTTTTAAAAATTGCAGCTTTTGCATGAAAATGAACTTAAGGAGTGATTCTTTCATTCTGTGATTACTTTGTTGCAAATCAAGATAATAACAAACTAATTAAACTAAATATTTAAAATTTCAATAAAATAAAAAGTTCCAATAAAAAATGTTTAAAGTTAATTTTCTCCATACAATGATTTTGTTACATTTTACTCACGAGCTATAAGGTACTATGGAACACCCTGATAACCAATGACTTGAACAACTTGTATACCTGTAAATGTACAGCGGTTGAAGATATTGATCTGTCTATTCTTTATCACATAAACGAAAGCTCTCACATAGGTTATTAAATGTTCTGTGAGAAATACATTACAGGCACGGGTACTACATATCTTAAAAATTGACATTCTGTCGTTTTTTTGATATAACTTTTGTTTTTTGAGACATAAGGTAGGTTTTTCTACAAGGCGTTAACTTAACACTAGCTGATGGACACTAGTTGTGAACTCGTTTTGTAGTTGTACGTGTTGCCTAAAAGTCATGATGCTCACTTATCAATGTTTAATGGGATTCTTCTATTCGTCATTGTCTGTCAGAGCGGTCCGTAGGACCCTTGCTCTTGGTTAAAGTCTTGTCAGTCAGTAGGTCTCTCAGGTCTGGTTGCACAAATACCAGATAAAGTCGGGGAGAAAGAAGGGAAGAAGAAAGAAAGGAAGGAAGGAGGGCGAGCAAAGAAAAAAGAAGTGCGTCAATTTGAGGGGTGCCTTGGCATTGCTAATTAGTATTACGCAATTTTAAATTGATCCAAAAATTAATTTAGAGATCTTTGATGGGATTATTGAAGGTCTAAGCTGTAATTTGTATATTATAGCTGGAAGGAGATGGTAGTGCATAGGTAGACAGTGAGGATTTGTGTAGTAATAATATGTATGTCCATTGGTTTATTGTCTCAAATACACTTACTTTTGCGCATCCACTTTTTCTTGTTCGTTCTGGAAATTGCATATGCAAATTTGCTGTATTTTAAAAATGAGAGAGAAAATATGCTAGGACAGGAATATTTTTGAAAGTTATTACATTTACATTTTATAGAAGTTTGCGATGTCAATAGAAAATACAAATTAGCGCCTAGATGTGAGGCACTGCAAAAATGATGTGTGATGCGACATTCCTAATTTTTCTGTGATATAGCTTAATTGCATACAAATTGGGCGCAGTCGCGATTTCCCGTAATGCTCCTCAAAGTTTTTGAAAACCCAAAAAACGGGAAAAATCGTATTTTATAACTTTGAACATAACCTGTATTCAGAAAGGACAACATTATAAATAACCCATCGGGCACAGCTAATAGATTTATGGTACTTCATTGGCAGCATATTCAGTGATAATTTTCTCACATAGTACGATATCACTGATTTTATACACATGCAGACCAATATACATAATCATCCAGATGCGATCTTGCTACTCAACCAACTTTCTTTCTTTCACAATCTTCTCAGAGATAAACAGTACAGACTCCTCGGCTTCACAAAACATATACCTGCTTTCTGAGTGTCGTTGAGTGATTCCTCCTTAGATGGACGCTGACAGCGATCATAGCGAGCAAGCGCGGAATGAACTATTTGCATCTTAAAAACAACCTAGTCTGCAAGATGACATTTCGTCGGTTTCTTGACGTTTTTTGCATAATAGTACGGTGAAAAACTTCAAAAAAAAAAACGACGAAATGTCATCTTGCAGACTCGGTAGTTTTTAGCATGCAAATATAGTCAACGCCAAACAAAGTGGCGTGCACGTCATCACGATAAAAATTCCCCGACCTAATGCCTAGGTTTCTATCACAAACAATTGCTCTATTGCAGTTTCATATTAATGTGATATATAAATTGTAAAATGGTCATTACTCTCTTATTATGGTTAATAGTCATATAAACATTGTTATTAAAATATCACATAAGTTGCTTTCTGATAAATTTAGACGCATTATGCGAATAAAATGTTTTGCAAACGCTCCAATCACTTATCGACATGTAAACGCACTAAACCGATTTCGCAGCGTTGACACATTGTCACCTTGAAACTTATTTAAACTGGGAACTGACATTTGTATTAATTTTGACACTGAAACAATTTGTGGCATTTCAAATCTTTATAAATCCTTTGGCCCCGCATACTGTAAATCAACAACTGTTTGTTTCAAAACAAAATTATTCATTTTACGAGTAGATAAAGGCAATTTTGGTATATAAAGATGCACAAACAGTTAAATAGTCGGTGTAAGGAACTCGTGGCCTCGTTAATGCACTACTTTGAGCAAGAAAGGGACAACAACGGGCCTTTGTTGCCTTTAAATGCTGTTCAAGAGGTAGGTTACTAATAATTATATGTAATGTATATTAATAATAGTGAAATTTTATTTCATTTTTTGTAGCGTGTTGCTGCTGCTTTAAAAATTAGTTTAAGGACAGTTTGTCGTATTTCCGAGGGTGTGAAAAGTGATGCAAATTTAGAATCGCCCAAGAAAAAGCGGAGTTATATTAAACGTGTAACCAACACAGCGACATTGGATACAAGCGCCATTCGAGAAGTGATCTATAATATGTATCACAAAAGTAAGATCTTATTACTCGTATAATAACTTATCAGAAATTTGCATTAATTTGTTAACTAAATTATAATGTCATATTACACATGGTTTCAGAAGAACAAGTTACGATACAAACTTTATGGTCTCGATTAAGAGATAGGGCATTATTTGATGGTAGTGCCACGTCTTTAAGGCGGTTGCTTAGAGATCTTGGATTTAAGTGGCTTAAGGACAATCCGCGACGAGGGCTCATGGAACTACCAAGTATAGCTTTGAAAAGGGTGGAATTTCTAAGGCAATACAATCAAGCCAAGGTTGAGGCCTTATACCAGTTTGTCTTCCTCGATGAAACTTGGATATTTCAAAATGGGACCATAGGTCGCTCTTGGCAAAATGGAAACCAAAAAAGCGTGAAAGCTATTAAAACAGATGGTAAAAGGTATGTACTTTTACACAATTTGCACTATAAAATTTAAAACTAATATATTTTAGATACATTATATTACATGCTGGAAATGAAAATGGGTTTATTGAGGGTAGTGAAGCGATATTTTCTTCGAAAACAAAATTGAGCGATTACCATGGAGAGATGAACCAGGACAATTTTTTGAAATGGTTTCAACATCAGTTATTAGAAAAATCGGAGAGTCCATCTATGATTATACTGGATAACGCCCCTTATCACAGCATGATATTGAACAAAGTGCCCAACAATGCATGGACAAAAAAAAATATCCAAGACTGGTTGACAAATCAAAACATACCATTTTTAAACACAATGTTTAAAACAGAGCTATTGAGTATTGTTGCTCGGTACATAATGCTTCTTAATTATATATATTTTGGTCGACAGTTTATATTTCTTTTGTTTATTCCTATTCTTAAAATAACTGCTTTTTTAGAAACAAACCACCTAAAATATACGTGATTGATGAATTGGCGGAACAACATGGGCACAAAGTTCTTCGTCTGCCTCCTTACCATTGTATATTTAACCCTATTGAGTTAATTTGGGGCATAGCAAAAGGTTACTATAACAGACATATTGGTAGAGATGGTAACAGTGAAAAAGACTGTTTGGATATGTGGAACGAGGCTCTACAAACGGTTACCCCAGACATGTGGAAAAATAGTGTTCGACATACTGAGCAAGAAATTTTTAAATGGTATGAAAGAGAACGAATTTTTGATCGACCAGACATCGAACCTTTAATAATCAACTTTGAGAGTGATGAAGATTCAGATTCAGACAGCGCTGAAGAAAGAAACTCCGACTAACTTTATTGTACAGAAAAAGCTTACACCAGTAGCTTACCTAATTTTAGAATGCATTTTTCTGTATGAATTCTGTAAAATAAATACCATGCATAAAATTTGGAGGACCCCATTTGGATTTTTATTCAGTACCTTTAAGCTATCAATTAAATATGGTAGTTTCATAGTGTCATCTGATCAATAATTGTCATACTTAATGATTATGCAAGTACAGATCTATAATTTTATTATACTATTATTTTTGTTCTCATTTGAGGTTAATATTGCTTATAAACCTAGATATGTAAATAATAAATTTTATTATTTTACAAAAAGTTTGGCAACAATGTAAATTTTTCAACACACCCACCTTCAGTTCAGTAACAAAGCAAGTTCCTATAACAAGTGTACAACAGCTTGTGCTAAGTTTACATTTTGTAGAAAAACCTACGTTATGCCACAAAAAACCTATGAAATGACAAAAAAATAAACGACGAAATGTCACTTTTCAAGATACGTAATACCAGTGCCGTGCAGGGGGCGCACAATGTTCATGGGCTCATATTTTTTTCAGGCGTTTGATGCAGTGTTTTTTCATTTTGTTTCACAAGATGGAATATATTATTGTTCAGGCATTGAGAGGCGTCAAGAGGGAAAATGTTCAGGCCTGATATACTTGGTGGTAAGAAGATATGCATGACATTTTTTATGTACGGTAACTCCTGAAACTTATCCTGTACTTTTCATGTTCATAGGACTCCATTGCCTGGCCGAATCCAAACCACATATACCTTGAGATTCCTGTTAATTGTACGACGTTTTGTACAACAGTGGTCTTTTTGAAGAACAATTGACACAAAAGAAATGAGTTGATATCCTAGTATCATGTACTTTTAATTTCTTGAGATTTTTGGGATATATACGTATAGGTGTTACGAACTGTCCTTTCTAAGATGCCAACATTTTGTCGTTTATTTGTCGCCTCCTTCAAGGCTGAACTAATGTCAAAAAAACATTTGTAAAATTCCATAACCATAAGTAACAAGTTCAGTTTAAAACATTGGCATAAAAAATACACAAAGACAAAAAACCACAGTACAAAAACAAATTAAAAGTACGGTACAAGTTGATAATCTGTGACATTTTATTTTTCGACCAGCATGCGGAAAGTACTCACTATCAACGCGCATCTGCGTGCAGAAAGTATCTTTTTCCGCACTTGTTAGGTAATTAACTATTTCTGTATTCCATGTGACATTTCTTGTCTTTATTTTTTTTACATTCTTATACAGTGTGTTACTACAATAGATCCCGTAACGGATTGAGCGAAGCCTTCATTGGAATTTTAAGATGGCGCAAAACTAGGGCCACCTGGGGTAGGAATTCTTGCTCTCAAAAAGACATTAAAAAAAGGACAGATAACCTCATTATCACTTGTCGCTTTGGAGGGCTGGACGTTCTTTTGGGAGCGGGAATGAGGTGGTCCTGCGTTTTATTGGTATTACACGGTGTCATTTCAAATTTGCAATGATGGCTTGGCGCAATCTCAGCTTGTTACGGGACCGTTCAGACTATTGTAGAAAAACATTGTATAGATTATAATCAATAATACTATAAGGGCAACGTAACCTTCTCTGGTCCAAGGATTTAGAGGATAGGAAATGGGCTGTGTACAAACTTCTTAGCAGAGTTAAGCACAGGGAAAGTTCTCCCCAATGGGAAGACTACAAGAAGGCGTTGCAAGAATACAAGAAGGAGATTAAAAGGGCCTCCAGAGAGAATCCTGGAGGAACTTCTGGCAGTCCATAAATGGCATTCCTGCTACAACTAGAATACACATGGTACTATGCAAAGACACTAAGGCAAGATTGGGATCTCTGTCTGATCAACTGGGAGGTAATACTACTTCCGAGGAAGGTACTCTGAGGCTTTTTATGGATACGCACTTTCCCGGTTCCACAGTAGCGCGATCAAACACAGAATGCATGCAGTTGCGCAGTCCCTAAGGGCAGGACTGGCGCACGAAATGATGGTATGGACGATAGATTCGTTTGCTCCATACAAAAGCCCATGTCTGGACTGTGTATTTCCGGCCATGTTACAACATGGGCGGAGTTTGGCTGTTCCTCACCTGTTGCAGTTGTTTCGAGCATATATGGCTACGGGCTTCACACCTAGTTGGCGGCAGGCTAAAGTGGTATTTATCCCTAAACCGGTCAAAGCTAGATATACTGGCCCGAAGGATTTTCGTCCGATTACCTTTTCATCTTTTATGTTAAAGACATTCGAAAGGTTAGCTGACAGATTATTTAGGGATGGTCCGCTGGACAGGTGTGTCATTCATTCCAATCAGTTTGCATACCAAGCTGGGAAATCGACTGATTTGACCTTACACAATCTGGTCGGCAGGTTGGAGAATACTTTAGATCGGAAAGAAGTGGCACTTGTGGCCTTTTTGGACGTTGAAGGTGCATTTAATTGCACTACAACCCACTCTATCAGACATGTTTTGGTTAGGAACGGGGTTGGATCAATCCTAGTAGATTGGATCTTATCTACTCTGGAGGGTCGGGTAGGATTGCTATGCTGAATGAGGTAAGCGTCAGCGTAGCTCGAGGCTGCCCACAGGGCGGAGTTCTATCACCCTTACTGTGGTGCCTCGTGGTGAACGAACTTCTCGTTACGCTCAGCAGTGCGGGTGTCTGCGTGCAAGCATAGGCTCGCGACTAAAGCATAGTAGATAGGGGTCGTTTTTGTAGAGCAGACTCTGAAATTATGCAGAGCGCTCTGCGCTCTCTGGAATCGTGGTATAAGGAATTCGATATTTCTGTCAACGCTGGAAAGACCGAGCTGATCCTATTCACTATCAGAAGAAGGCTTGACGGGCTTGTCTTGCCGACCTTCTTTGGGACTAGATTAGCAAAATATCTACGCATTATCCTGGAATGCAAACTGAGCTAGGGAGAGCATGTTGAATACATGGTTAACAAAACTCGCAATTCAATCTGCGCGTGCAGACGTGTTCTCGGTGTAAAGAGGTACACTGGCTCTACACGGCAATAATATGTCCATCTCTCTTGTACGGCTGCCTGGTCTGGTGACTTTGCATTGGAACTGACATAACTAAGGCCAAAATTAATAAAATTCAGCGTTTGGTTTGTATTAGCATTACAAGCGCAGAGCGAACAATGCTATTGAGTGCAATGGAAGCTCTACTGGATCTCCCACCGTTGGATCCAGTGATTCGCGGTGAAGCGAAAGTAGTCGCACATAGACTGTGGAGTCAGGGCAACTGGGCCTTCTTGAATTCTATCAAGGGTCATACTGCCATCTTAGTCGAACGGCGATCAAAATTATTTTTTGGAGTTACACAATTATTCGAGTTGTCAAACCAATAATGCTTAAGCTATTCAAATGATTTGCTTCTTTTCTTTGCTCTATTTCTTCCTTCTTTCCCTTTTCCAATTTATCATGTTTGGTATCTGAGCAGCCAGACCTGATAGACTAACAGACAGATGAGCCTTTTAACTAAGAGCAGAGATCCACCGGACCGCTCTGACGAGCACTGACGATTAGTAACACTAGGAAGGTGAAAAAGGAAATGTCACCTGGAAGACAGAAAATAAAACGTATTGTCACAAAATTGTTCATTGTAGTTCAAAAAGACTACAGTAATGGTCGAAACGTCGTACATTAGTCAGACATCTAAAAGTATATGTGGTTTTGATCGACAAAACAATGAAGTCCTATTTTATGAAAAAAGACAACACACCAATGACTAGAGTTGTCGATATTGTTATTTTTGAGAATCTGTGATATAAGATATCGTTACTTTTTGATATCAATGATTTAAAACGGTGACGTGATCACGATTTTCGAGTAAGGATGAGATTAGGGGTATACTCATGTCCTGACCAAAATACCGCGACGAAATCGCATGGAGCTAACTACCAAAGCCTGTAGGGCACGATGTTATTTGCAGTACATAGTAACGGCGTTAACGGTGTTATGCCATTTGCCATGACGTGAAGCAGCCAGTTCAGGAAGATGTGAACAGGTCACGTTTTTTTACGGTATATGGTAACATCCGTGATTTAGATATGTCAGTTACTGAGTCACAGTTTGTAGAGTATCTGCCACCACTACCAATGACAGATATCTGGGGCCCGAAACACGAGGTTCGTATGGGGCGCTTGTATAGTCAAAGTGCGAGGAAGGGAGGCTGCTTAAACGTTATGATTCTAGAACCTCAAACTTTATCTACTCATACTGTAGAGCCCCATAAACCTCGTTATGAGTCCCCTATATCCCGGGGCCCTACGCATTTGAACGTCATGATTTCATCAAAATCTAAAGTTATGTAACGCCACTGTAACGGACTCCTAGGCTAAGCCCAACGACAACTGGTTGGTTTCGACCTATCAAGTGCGTTCTAACTCTAAAGTCACCGATGTTAAATTTCTCTAGGCCTTCAAAATTTCACTAAGGATAAGTGGTGTTTCTAAGTGTAAAGGAACATAATTCTGCATTCACTACTACCATTAGATATTCAATTTCAGTTACCAGAATATGGAGTTTTTTGCAACGAAAAAATGCCCAGCACTATTCTCGACGCAGATCCAGAATCTTTGTTTTCAATGGAATATTTTGGAGCAGAGGGAATTTCCTTTAAGCCTTTAGAGCCAATGAAGAAGTGGCATGTATCCTATAAAGGAAAAATGAAGTAAGAACGATTCACGCTTCATACGTTATTAATTTATACCTGCAGGCCTCTCACAAAGTGTATTTCTCTGAACTATGGTATTTCAAGAATACGGTACCTTCAGGTATTTAGATCTGTGACCTGAGTGGTGGCTCAATTATTAAAACATCTTTTGAGATGCCTAGTTATTTTGAAGATGTATTGCAAAAATTTTTTTTCACATTTATTTATTTATTTCGACAGTGAGCTACTTGGAAATATATTGCAGACATACATTATAGGAAATCCCCAAAAAATCCAGATCAGCATTATTTACATATGGTTCGATTGAGTGAGATTTTCGGCATATCTTGTGTTAAAATAGCATGTTGTTGTGTCTTACAGTCTTTGGCTACATTCATTCTAGGTAATGCCTTTGAGCTTGGTATGTATACCCAATACAGTTGTTATTACGAGTAAAAAGTTTCAGTTTTAAATTATTCCACTGACACAATTGTACTAAGTTTTTAAATCTTCCTGAAGTATCTCACAGCTCTGATTAAATTTAACACTTTTAAACAGTTCCAAATCATCAGCGTGAAGTCATTTATTTAATTTAAAAATGATGCCCATATGATTTATAAAACAAGGTATAGTCTGCGGCTAAGGTGAGATCCCTTAGATACACCTGTATCAACAGCAAAGATTGACGACATATGTCCCTAAACCTTTAGCTGAAGAGTACGGTAGTAGCCAACCAAGACAGAAATAAATCAGTTCTTTCAATAAAATTTTTTGATCCGAATGGCCATAGGCCTTAGTGAAATCCATATGAAGAATGTTTTTTCTTATACGGAAGCAGCCGCGCAGGCAGAAGCCTAAGTGCCGGGACACCGCGGCTGCTCTGATGATCCCAAACAAATTTTGTTAATACGATTTTTAAACTGCCTAAGGTTAGTAGAACTTAGCAAAGCTTTCTCTTGTAGATTGTTTCACAATCTCGACATCCTGGGGACAAGGGAGCGGTCGTATCGACCAGTTCTTCGATAATTCAGCAATAATACGATTTTTCAAAACTATCCACCTCCTGGAAGAAACTAATGTCTTTAGACTGATGGTAAAACCAGATAATTTGATGGTTCTAAATATTTTGGACATGTTTAATTTTGCTCAAACTGTATGAACATGTGTGGTTTTGTCTGGAACGACTGATGGACATGAGTTAATTTGAACAATTTATCAACAAAACAAAGGAAACACTATTTCTCTTAAGTAACAAAATAACATAAATATGCACATAGTCCCTTCAGCTGAACAAGAAAAAAATAATTTATACATGTAACCTTAGGCAATCAGTTTCCAAACATTCAAATATACCCTATTTCACGAGTATCCTTCACGATAGAATGACAGCTGGTTATCTAGTAATATTTCAAAATTCCCCATATCGGCAAAGGACACATAATTCTGACAGATCAGTCAATGGCAGGTGGAGAGAGCCATATTTTGTTTTGGTCTTTTGTGCGCTACAGATTCATTTTGTACTTGCTAAAAGCTCTTTTATTTAGGAAAGTTCATTTGCATACAGAAAACAAAACGCTACAATTTTTTTCTAGATTTACACCCGATTCATTATAACCAACGTTGCAGACTAACACAAAAATGTCACTTGCTGATCAGTTGTTCACCTCAGTAGACGTCAAAGCGTAATTGATACTCGTGAAATAGGGTATATCTCCTCGTCATCCATGTTGAATGTCGTTGATTCTTTATCATTTTCTCTATGGGGCGTGTTTCCATAAATAATGTTTTTAAAGAAAGCAAGCTCTGGTAGTTCTTCCCATTTGATCTTCATCATTATTGAATTGTTTTTCGAACACTAAACACTAAAAACACTGTTCACTACTTGTAGTTTGTAGGTTAGTTAATACAGAAACCACGCGGAGAAGTCAGCTGTTAAGGAAACTGGCGTTTAATATTGTCATATTAGATTGATACTGCCATCTATCAATAAATCTAAATGTATGAAGCAACTCTAAAATTTGTAACATAGAAAACTATATTATGTAGACAAGTACAGTTTTGTATTAATCATCAAATTAGTCGATATATTTTTCTAAGGATGAGCAGTTTTGATCGGAACATTGAATGAAATTTTGCGGTTGGACATGTGTTGTTTTAGATGATCTTTGTATATTTCTGTCTGTTTAATATGGGATAGGATAGGTTTTGCTCAATTCTAACGCCATATTCGGATTTAGTTCAGGAAACTCTACATGATTCATCTTTTAACTCAATTTGGGTAAATTGTGGACATGTGTGCTTTTGCATGGACGATCCTCTGTTATTGGGTTGGGATATGTTAAGATATGCTATACAGTCTGTGAGATACTTCACGTATAATGTTGAATAATAAATAATGTCTATTGCCAAAGTAACTATTACATCACTTTGCATACTACATTTCTTTCTCCGAAACCATCTTTTTCACACTAATGCGAAACGAATGACATATAACATACATGACCTCCACGCGGGCGGATCCGTGGGCTGAGGCTAGTGATCTATAAATTTTACTCACTTAAAGGGTGTCCACTATAATTTGACCACATCTAAACCTTTGGTGTAACCGTTAAAAAAGGTGTTATATAAAAGTTATAGGGTCTAATGTGTTTTTCTTACAATGTATTTTTCGGATACAAGGTGTTTCAGAGAAGTGCTACCGTATGAAGTTGTATTTCTTAAATAAAACTTTCTGTATATTTTCAGTGAAACCCATTATTGCTTATTTTCTGATTGCAAATATATAATGCTTTATCATACGTTTTTTTATATATTTTTAGTTTGTGTCATCAATCCACTCTGCATCTTGCCGCCTACGCTGGTGTAATGCCAGATAGGTATGATTAAGCGACACAAAAGTTTTTGAGTAAAGAAATGAAAATAAGTATAACAAATGATATATATTTGGGATTGAAAAGAATCCGACTATCGTTTTCACTGACAAAGTACAGGGTGCTTCGTTAAGAAAAACTTTATTCGATAGCACGTTCTGAGTCAAGCTGCATTTAAAAGAAAGGACAACTATATATTTGATCCCATCGCTCTTCTATATTTTTTTGAGCCGCGTTACAAACTGTTATACCAGGGGTCATGTTTGTACAATAAAGAATGCTCATTACCTGATGGGCTGGTTGAAATGCGCATAGAATTTAGTAATACGCGCATGGTAAAACACCAAAAACTGTCTAAAAAATTGTGTTTTGCGTAATTTATATCAAGAGGTAGATTACATACCGTGTTGTTAATTTCGTGAAAATGTTCTTACAAGCGCCTCATGAAAAAGTAATTTTCCCGCTTTTGTATACACAAAGGGGCATCATTCGAGTCACGTATGCATAAATGTAAAAACGTTTAAAATAAAACTCTTCACTTACGTAATGTACACACCCATTAAAAAACTCATCGTGCAGATGAACAGAGAGGCAAAAAAACTGAGTGCAATGGTACTTTTGAAATTCATTTGTAGGGCTGTTTACCCTTTTGCTAATGCCTTTTCACCACAGCTTCCGTGATGCCATAGTACAGTCACACTCGTATATTTGGAGGATTTTAGTAGCATGGCTGAGAAGTGTATATCTGCGGAAATTGCACCTGTTACATATGATGGACATTTTGTGGTACATGGAATAATGGAAGGTCACCCAATCAAGTCGTTCAACCTTTAACCCATCCAAGATAAAAAAAAATATTTACATCAGTTGAATGGAACCAGTACACTGATTTAAATAAAAAAATAGAGCCTCTAATTCATATTTCACGAGCTATAGCTTAAACAGATTAATAGAATTCGACATATGAGGTGTTTATATATTTGTCTTGATAGTCCGAGTGACAGTGAGTATACTTAAGTTTTATTAAAGCGAAATGGCAGATTTTAATAGAAAAAATAACCTTGAAATTCAGCAGCTTAAAGGATTTTAATATATGAGTATACTTAAATTTTATAAAACGAAAATGTGGGATCTTAGCAGTGCGAGTTATACTGGGTATACTAAGATTCTATAAAAACATATTAGCGGATTTTATTAAAAACTCATCTTTGATATCCCTAGCGGATTTTAATAAAAACTCATCTTTGATATCCCTATTTCACAGTCTACAGCTTAAACGGCTTGATGGCTTGTTTGGGTTTACTTAGAATCAGACTTGCTAGTAACAGCAGTTTTGCCCAATTATGTCACATAAAACTCGGAATTTTATGTGCCAGCAACTTGATTTCATCAACATTTTACAACATAATGCTTGGAATTGAACCAACTGAAGATGTTTTGGGAATTCAAAATTCCAGAGCTTGATGCAGTTTCTTATCCTTTTTATTTCATCAAGTGCAACGCGCTGTGATTGTACTCTGCATTTATTATAATTTTGTAGAAAAAAGGAGCAATAAATAAAATAAAAAAAGACGTTAATGTTATGAACCCTATTTACTTTTTTTATTCTTTTAATGATTTGAATCTACCTACTGATATTACACAACAACATACCTATGTAAGTTTAAAAGGGAAACGGCATTTCCTATGCAATTTTAATAAATTTGACCTTCCAGATCAACCAGAAACTAAGTAAAATCCACAGAAATTGTAGTATGCAGATCCGGACAAATGTGCATTATGTAACTAAATCTAATGAAGGTTTGTGGTGAGTCCGGTCTCTATGTTAGGTTTTTCTACATTTTCGTCATACTTTCGAATTTGTCTAGAGAGTCAAATTCACTGCACTTGAATACTAAAAGACGTTTTCCTTTAAAGCAGGACTCATGTTGTTGTATAACATCAGCTGGTAGAATAAAATCATTAAACAATTACTGAAAGAACTAAATAGGGAACATTTCTTTTTATTAATTGCAAGTATCGTTCGGTTTTCTGCGAAATAATACTAAATTGAGAGTATAACTTGCAAGTTGAGAGAATTGTGTGAGGTCCTGGATTTTTTATCCGTCCGTCTAGTTACTCATAGGCAACTTGTTATCGCGCAAAATA